GATTTCAAGGATAGTGTACTGACAAAAGCGGAGTACAAAATGAGAAGTGACATCAAAATCACTTGATACTTCTCATACGCAATGCATTGTAGGATATGTTTGGGACAAAACATGTCGGATTTAACAAATAGATCTCATTTTTCCGTGCGTGTGTACTCTAATAGATACACAGATGACGTCAAAATGTAGTGAGAACAAAAAAGTACGCACGAGACGCAGTCGAGTGCGTGACTGTTGTTCTCACTACATTTTGACGTCATCTGTGTATCTATTAGAGTACACACGCACGGAAAAATGAGATCTATCTGTTTTATACAACAAACAATTAGTTTTGACGTAATCCGTGTATCTATACTTTGATATCACACGAAAGCCAACCAATCAAAACGTCTGATTTTACTGAAAAGTTGTATAATTCCATATAGACAATAAACCATCAGACAGTTAAGACAAAAGCAAACTTTYGTTAAAAAATAAACTTTCTTTAAAAAGAGCGACATTTTGTCAAAATTTATAATGCTAACCGTGGGTGTCACTGTAACTGTTGCGGATAGTGCTTATATATTAATTCACAGATCTCTGGCTCGTTATTTAATAGTGTTGTTGCAGCTGTTGCAAACTTTTTAAGTTTTTATTCGCTGTAATCGTTTAACATTGTTGTAGACTGTCTTGCGTTTCCGTGGATACCGAAAAAACTGAACAGTGACAGTGTAGTCAAGTTTGCCCTGAAGACGTTGCGGAAAGCTAACAAAGTATACCAAATATTTCATACAAATATGGAGTATATCCAAATGGAAGATGTTGTCTATACGTGTACAATGCTTTTGTACCCAGTATTTCTGTATTTCTGCTTCAAGAAGTACTCATTATCTTCAACTTTGAAGTGTGTTATCGTGCCCCAATRCCTCCTTACGATCACGACTGCAGCAACCGAAATAGCCCTTCGCCATCCTGAATTCTTCCCAGAAACAAAGTGTTCGTGGATTTCTTTTGTAAACATTGCGAGTATCTCTCTTGCCTGGTTAACTTTGATGTGTATGGTCATCGTTATGCTGGCTGAGATGACTTCTACCAGGAAACAAAGCAGCTTTACTGGTGTTCTTCYWGTGATACTMWTGTTATTCCTTRTTTCTATAACGACACTTTTGTCGCCAATTTTGTATCTTCATGATGCATGGGGCCCTCTTTTCTTTTGTCAGGGTGAGAGGCATTCGAATRAYAAGATCGTCAATGATCATTTTGGCGGACCACGTCTCAATATTGTGTCTTATCTCTCGTTTTTTATGATATTTCAGTTCATTATCCCTAATATTATTATCATAAATCGTGTGGCTCTCATTTTGTATTTTRTCCATAAGACGAAGCAAAGAGGTAATCCCGAAACAGACCAATCTACATACGGAGCAGTTACCATACTGCGGTCAAAAAGATTAGCGAACTTTATATCTGTTGCCACTGGAACTTTGTGCGTTTTCTTGTTTGTTCAAATATTGTCATTCAGGAACAGCGATCAAGAAACTTTACACTTTTTAGCTGAAATTTTCGAAATATTATCAGGGCTATCGGCCATCACTCTGTGCTTTTTTCCTGTATTCATTATTTTGGGTACTGCTTTTTATTTGGACAGCGACGACAACCAAGACTTAAAGCCAAACAGTGGAAGTAAACTGACAGACATAATCTGACAATAGACTAGTGATGACCTTAAGTAAACAAATGCAGAACGGACTGGAGAGAAGAAGAAGAAGAAGAAGAAGAAAAAGAAGAAGAAGCAAACCATTTTACCAAAATGCTTTTGAGTAATAGAAAAACTCCCGTACAACACTTCTGCTTGTTTATTAAACATTACATAAGTTCATTTCTTGTAGTGGGAGTATGAGCATAAAAATTGATGTGTATTGCTAACATTTTCTACAAAACAATTCAGTTAAAAAACATTAACATTTCCATAAAACAAATAAAAAATAAATAAAAAACATGTTTTTAAAATACCATCAAAAGGGATGCACCCATCGCATTGGATGAGAGAGTGGTCTTTGAAATTCATTCTATAGTATACAATTTATACCAAGCACTAGTTGATCCGCTCTGCAATGTGGGAACGAAAAATCAAACACTTAGTTAACAACAAACACTTTTTATATATTTTCAAAAGAATATAGATAGATTTTTYGACCCAATACCGCAGTACTCATCTTTTAAGACTATTACACAAATCTTATATTTGAAATTTTAGTGC